AGTAGCAGTAGCAGTAGTAGTAAAGCGCCATGAGCGGTTCAAATCTGCGCGGCGGTTTCAAACCTTGGGCCTCTTCTTCTCAACGTAAGCTCGCTAGCTGGCCCGTGGAACCCCCAAGCGAACTCAGCTTTCTCCCTCGGGAGTCCTCGAAGCATGGATCTGTAATACGGTGCAGAAAAGAGCGTCACTGCAACTGGTGGAGTAGCACGAACAGGCCGTATTGCGTCTGGATGTGCACTGCTGGATTACAAGGATGCACGTGGAAACTTCGATGGCAGCCAGTTCGTCAGAAACGGGGAATGCTCATTCCGGTCCCAAGTCCGGAGATGCTGGCATTACAGCTCAGCAAGATGTACCAGAGCAGCGTCGGCGTGAGGGTCGGTCTTCTCCCTCCGGAAGACCTGATGCTGTTTCGGCAGTAAACTCAGGAGGGGACACAGGAAACGCGCTGAACGTGCAGGGCCTTTCTCTGTCACGTATCCGAAAGCGCTCTTTTAAGCGTGCTGTTAAACGAGCACAACTGCATGGTGAGACGATGTACAGAGGTACGCTCCTGCGTGCACATCCGCCGCTCCTTTCGGTAGCAGAGGAGGAGAAGGAGAGCGTAAAACCTAGAATTCATTTTATGAGCTGGAACGCTGGAGGTTTGTCTAGCGTGCTGTATGCGGAGATCTGCGTATGGCTGCAACAGCCGGCACAACAACATATCGGAATATTCATGCTTCAGGAAACACATTGGGATTTTACTTCAGACTGGATCACCGATGAATGGTGCATCTGCCACTCAACAACGGGCAAGAAGGGCAGCGGCGGCGTTATGGTGGGCATTCGGCGAGGACTTGTTGATCCAGGCACCATCAGGTGGCATGAGCAAGTTCCAGGTAGACTGCTACAGGTTCGCTGTCAGCTGGGCAAGCAACAGCTGGACATCATATCACTGTATCAGCACGCATACCTGAATCAGGCCGGGCAGTCAGACGCGGTAATGCAAAAGCGCAAACAGCTGTGGAATAAGCTTGACGCATTGCTGGCCTCCTTGCCAGTCCGAACACACATCATTATGGGCGGCGATTTCAATGCTCAAATGCGTGCCGAGCCAAAGTTGGTCGGCCAAGGACTCCTCAGTAAGGACCCCACGGACAAGGAACGTGAAGACCGTGAGCTTCTGATGCGACTGCTTGCACGGCATCGGCTTTGCGCCCTGAACACCTGGGGCTCGAAGAAGTGCGCTCGCACCTACGTGCACCCGAAGGCCAGCAGTCAGCTCGACTACGTCTGTGTCAGACAGCAGCTGGCGGATGGACTAGCAAAGCAGACAAGGCCCCGGCTACTGCCGCTTGCAGGTTGGAGAACCGTAGGGCATCATCCACTGTTAGGGTCGGTTCCGCTGCGCTGGACACCATGGACAAGTAAACCGCCTCGATCGGCCGCCGCTTCCACCCCGGATTCATCTAAAATACAAAGGCTTGGTGAGAGGCCATATCTTGCAACTGTATCAGAGCTCCGGCTAGCGGTACAGGCGGCAGGAGGGGACCCTCCTGAGAAGCCAGTCAAGCCGCCCCTGGAGGAGGTGAACGGTCTGGTATTGTCAGGGCTGAACTTGCGCCGGGCAATGGCTGCAGCTCAACGGCAATTTCCAAGTGGCCTGCGTTTCATTTTTCTGTACTTTTGGCTTAAGACTAAGTATCAGAAGGCGCACAGGACGCTAAAGAAGGCCCTGAGAGATCGGAAGCGTCGCCAGACTCTGCAGCTATTGGAGCAGGCGGAGGGCGCTGCCAAGTGCAAGGACTCTCGGGCACTCTTCGGGGTCATCCGCCTTATGTGCCCTGCTGGACGGGCTCAGCGCATCCGACTACGAGGGAAGCAGGGGCAGCTACTGAATGGTGAGGAGGAATGTGAAGCTCCGGCAACGTACGCTAAAGCACTGTTCCGGGGTAATTCTACCTACTCTCTGCAGCTGCTGCCTATACCCACGGAGCTGCTTGAAGACAATGTTTGGCTCAGGGCCCTCAGGAGTATGCAGGCTGAGAAAGCAGAGCCTAAGAGTACGCCGCCGCTCCGGAACTGGAAGCGACACCCTCAGGAGGTCGCAGCATGCATGGGACATCTGGCAAGAGCGCACCTATGCAGCTCCCGGCCCTCTATCCCACAGCAGTGGACTCAGGTCCAATTAGCATGGCTGGCTAAGCCCAAGAAGTGTCCTAATTGTCCGGAAAACTTGAGGTCGATCGGTCTCATGGTGAACTGTGGGCATCGATACGGCTTCTGGTACTCTGCATAGTGGGTTGACCTGGCAGACTGTGCTATCAAGCACCAGGCGTGGGTCGCGGTTGTCCGCCTTGACCAGGCTCAGTTTACCCACGGCTATACCTTTCGGCCAGAGTCGCTTAGCTTGTTTAAGGCCTCCTTCTACCTTTGCGATCCAGCCGGACTTGGCTTCTTCGGCGAGGAGGGCTGCGACCGTCTCTGGGTCTTCTTCTGCTGGCTTCCAATTGCCTTGGCAAACCTCTAAACCTGACTGGCTCAGGGGGAGAGGTTTGGCAGGGGGCCAGAGGCCGCTAGGCTTGATTTCGTCGAAGACACCCGTGTGAACGCCCTGCTCCAGTAGGCTCGGAAGGCCACTGTCCGGGTCCTGGGCCAGGGAAGCCAGGGCTTCCATGAGGTGAAGACGAAAAGGCTGACCTGGGCTGATCTGGCTCATTTTCTGCAGGTCTAAATTTAGGCTGGAGCAGAGCACCTGTAAAAGCTCCTGCTGCTCTTGGTCGGAAAGTGGGTGTTCGGGCTTGCTTTGGCTGATATGTGCAAAAACTCGTTTGGCAGGCGACACGAAGCTTTTCATGATGGCAATCAAGGAAGCGACCTCAGGCTATGTTATGCAAGGACTGCGTGACATACCCCAGTTCGCTTACAGGGCGCACGCTAGCACAGTAGATGCGTTGCTACGCGGCAGTGACCATTGCTCCAGAGTTCGTTCGATGATGCAGCATGTTCATACAGATACGGCATCAAGGCTTCTTGGGGGATACTTCTAACATGGACGTCAAAGGAGGCATCATGATCAGCTTGGACTTGGCTAAGGCCTTTGATTGCCTTCCATACGGTGAGATGTACCACAGTTTACGCGAAGTTGCTGTACCAGATTCCTTAGCAAGGCTCATTGTTGAGGTGCACAGGCAAACTCACTGCGTTATACAGCGTGCTGGGCATCAGCAAACGATCTCCATGACGAGGGGACTGCGCCAAGGGTGCCCGCTGGCTCCATGCATCTTTGCCTCCTGGACGGCGCGACTTTGCCGGTGGCTCGGGGTTTCTTGGGCGCAGCAGCACTGTAGTCTGTTTGCAGATGATGTTCACGGCTACTGGTGTATTGAGACAGCGGAGCAATTTCAATCAGCGCGGGACCAGATAATCAGATTGATCCAGGGCTTGACGGACAGCGGCATGAGCGTGAACTTCAAGAAATCCGTCGCCGTGCTAGTGTTGCGAGGCCAGGCCGCTTCCCAGCTGAAGACCCGGTACGTAAAGTGGAGGGGTGGTCGCTATGTTCTTGTAGTTGGATGGGACCAGGCCAACAGCTGCGACATCGCTTTGCCCGTAGAGGACAAGCTGGGGTATTTAGGAGTCGTGCTGTCTTACAATGCAATGGAAACCCAATCGATGCAATTTCGGAGTACCCGAGCTTGGGCTAACTACACCAAACTCAAGCCGATTCTCAGGACCAACTCAGTGCTGGGACGACAGCATCGTCTCAGGGTCTTCAAGGCGTGTGTTCTTCCGGCCCTTCTTTATGGACTAATTGGCGTTGGCTTCTCGGCGGCCTCACTGCGAGGTCTCCGCACCATCATTGCCAGCATGCTGCGCAAGGTGCTGAGGGTGTATGAGCACGGCGTATCCAATCAGCAGGTGATGGACAAAGCCTCTCTAGATCTGCCAGGTGCTTTCCGCGTACAACTCCTCCAGAAGCAGGCGGCGGCACAGGCTGATACGCATCGCTGGCTCGCGCGACAATTGAGCGTGCGCAGGCTCAGGCGCTACCAGACTCCGGGCTGGTGGAAGTTGATCGGACTGGGGAAACTGTCTCATGCAAGGTCTGTGGGCTTTTCTTCCCGAACACGAAGAGTCTGGACGCGCACTACACCTCCAAGCACCCGGAGGTACACCAAGTTGCCAGGGCTCCCTTCAACAGGCGGGAACACGCGCTATTCGGTTTGCCGCAGTGCAGATTGTGTAGGGCTAAGCTCTTTGACTGGGTTTCGTTGGAAAGGCACTTCACCGAAGGCCGATGTTCGCGCCTTAAACAGGCGGCGGCGGAGGGCAAGACAGTGGATCAGCTCCTGCAACAGGTCATTGAAGAGGAGAAAACCTCACCTCCGGAGCCACCCAAGCAACTGGAGGCTCACGCTACCACGACGCCTGTGGTTTCGGATGAACTGCTTCGATGCTCGCTGTCGGAGATAGCAGGCCACTCTCAGTTGGTGGCGCTGTACGCTCTTCAATGTCTCCTCTGTGGTCAGCGAGTCAAGGACTCAGGGCACATGAAGAACCACTGGAGAGCCATACACACGGAGGCATGGAATGATACCCAGCAGGACGCTCTGTCTGCGGCACAAAGTCTACGCGCCACATTCGTGCGGCCTTGCAAATACTGCGGTAGCATGGCTCAGCTCGGCAATAGCAAAGCAAACCATCATGCTACCAAATGCTCTCCGCTGTTCTAGGTATTAGCGGCGCGGGCTCTGCGTCGGACCGGCACGTTGGACAAGCACATGAGCTCGTGCAGGGGTCCAGCTCTCAAGCAGCGCGAGAAGCCGAAACAGTATGAACAGGCTTCATCAAAGGATGTCATGGCAATTCTCGGCGCCAGAGGCAGTGTGGAAGTCGCCACCTCGAATGACGCCCAGAAAGAGCCACAAACGAGGTTGAGCCCGAGCCCCTGCAATCCACCAAGAATGCCTCCTCGTCGGTCGCGCCAGGCTCGGCTTCCTCCTTGACTACGTCAGCTTCGGCGCCAGCCTTACACAGTTTCGGTGCCCAGCACCTTGTTCTTCTCAATCCTCGCAACTTGTGCTATATGAATGCATCGATTATGGCGATTCTACACACAGTGTGCCGGGAGGATCTCACAGGCGGGCTTCGGCAATTACATGGTCTCTGTAGCCGGGCTGAAGGCAGACCACTCAGTCTGGCAAGTCAGTTGATCGTCACTTCGGTGTTGAGAGGATGGAGACTGGAGGCGGTTCAGAAGGATGCAGCGGAGTTCACGCACTTTCTATTATTGGAGAGAGTAGGGCTCCCGGTCCCTAAATGGGAGGCACGGACTTCTGTAGTGGATGGGTCTGAGGTCGCTTTCAGTGGCGGGACCATTCTCTCGATGTCTCTTCCAGGCCAGGACTGTGATCTCAAAGAAATAGTGGTCCGTTGGCATGAACAAGCAGAAAATCATGCTCTCCTGGAGGCGGTCACGTATGTGCCAATGTTCATTGAGCGCTACACAGTGAACGGCAAATTGTTCGGGAGGGTCCGTTTCCAGCAGCTTGTGAATTTGCTGGTCTTTGTTGAGCACACGTGGAGTGGAAAGCGTATCATTGTGTGGCAGGACTTATCCACGACGGGATGCTTCCCACCTCCGGCCACTACCGTGCCCTGCTCAGAGATTTAGAACAGCCTTCACTCTGGAGTCTAACAGATGATGGTCGTGCTGCAGTACCTTGTGAAATCGAAGACTACCACCACAGCAACATTTATGTGCTGTGGCTCAAGAAGCTCTAGCGCTCGTCGATTGTGTCACCTTGACGCTCCTTTAGTATGGCGGAGTTCGGAGCTGAGGGCCCTACCCCCATGGAGGACGAGGCCGAAATGGCCGTTTGGAGCGCTTTTCAAGGTGGCGCAGGGAGCGCGGCCCCGGACGCACATGCTGCACCGGCCGGGCCGGTTTTCCAAGGCCCGCTATCCAATGATCAGCGTGAGGCCGAGGCCGAGGACAAGATCGATGAGGACAGGCCGTCCAAGTGGCCAAGAGCAGATGAAAAGGGCAATGCCAGAGCCGGGGCGGACAAGCGCGGCCGCCAACAAGGAGGGGACTCCTATGGAGGATATCGCCAACAACGCGGCGGCGGCGGTTCCTGGGGAGGTGGCTGGAAAAATCAGCAGTGGCAAAGCCACAGCCGGGACGATGATGACGTCATGGCGATGCTCCGGGCCAAAATCGAGATCCTCACTAAGCTGGTATTGCGCCACGAAGACAGCATCAATATCTGGAGAGCAGAGTGCTCCTTCGTGATGTTCGTCAAGACGGGCATCCCGGGATCATTGGTCCCAGCCCTGTTTGCTGCCAAGGACAAATGGCAAAGCCTGAAGAACGACACGCCGGAGGCTGTCAAAAGCCCCATGCGCTGCGTTCTATTGTCGTGCTTGGTCAAGGAGCTTCATGGCCGGTTGCAGGTACTGCAGAAAGATGAGGCCCGACTCGAGGCAATGAGGAAGCTCGGCTGGCTGAAGGAGGATCGGTTCCAGCGCATGAAATGGAACGCGAAGGCCAAGAAGGTGGAGGTTGATGAAGAGGGCGAGCCCAATGCGTATGACGCGGTCCTCGAGCTCCTCACCAGCGTTATGCTGCGCACGAACACCATTGAGGCCGTGATGCGTTTTCATCCTACAAGGCCAATGGCGGAGACGATGCCGGTGGGAACGCTGGCGTTTATGTTGCAGTTTGGGCTGCAGCACGCCGCGGGAGCCAAGCTTTACAACGACTTCGCAAAGCTTTGTCATTGTGGAGCAACCATGGTGGCCGGAATTAAGCTGCGCAAAGAGCGCGTGGGGCGCAGTGCCCTTGCGAATCAGCTCACCCGTGGGTGAGCAAGGTTTCATCGACGGCCGCTCTCGTATGACAAGGCCGGCGAGCAAGTTTTGAGCGCTGCCATTTTACCCTGCCGAGGGCATGCTTGGCACTGTCGGTGCGGTGCTCTACATCAAGGCGGAATATGAGTGATTGATCTTCGTAGAGAAGTTTGAGATGTCGTCAATAGCACGACGGATCATCGGGGCACAGCACTCTCTGCGGACCTATGTTCCCGTAACGAGCTTCAGTGAAACCAACAGCCGGCTTGATTCTTGGACCCTGCTGCTGCATGGAAACTTGAGAGCAGACATTCTAATGATCGAAGCATCTCAGGTGCTCTTCCCTTGGCGGGGCCTACTACCTCGAAGTGGTGGTGTTGCACTAAGTGCCTCTTGTTTGCTGGACTTCTCGGCTACAACCTCCATGCAGCCCGTGATGTGCGCTATGGGTTGCGGGCTCGATAATTGCGGGACTGGTAGTTTTGCACTGGTCTGTGTGAGTCCAAACCTGAGCCTGGATGAAAACTCATGGCCGGCTCCTACGATGACAGGCCTCGGCCCTTGATGCTCCCAGGGAGCTCTAGTGACCCAGTGGAAGCAGTTTCAGCTACCTCGGGCGAAGCGGGGGAGGAACCTGACTCCGATGATGAGCACGTGTTCGAGTTCTTGCGTAAGCTGCCCCCTGCCTCAGCGCAAGGAGTTTACTCAGGGAATGCCGAGTTGCTGCAGGACTGTATCCGGAAACAACGATATTGCGTGGCTATACAGCAGGTCCCACTGAGCCTTCAAGTCTCTCAAGCAGAAGCGATGTCCGGGGTATGTTTAAGCTGTGGGTGTGTGACGTGGAGACAGCTGGAATCCATAATGCAAGTACTACCAAAAGACCCGGGCCGGCGCTGGACTCAGGGACCACCCGGTGATGAACCAGGGTCCCCCAAAACATTCATGACAGGGGCATGGGCTCGTGGACCGCATGGGGGACTTTCGAGGAATTTCAGAAGTTTTCCGATTGCAAGTCGTCTCTTTGCAGCCATCGTCAGGGCCATTGACCCCGACTTTCGTTTCAGCTCTTGCACTATGTCACGCAATACCAGCGCCAAGGCCCACAGAGACTCGCATAACACGCCCGGATCCATGAACATGGTCGCTCCTTGTTCAAGGTTCGAGGGAGGCAGATTATGGCTTCAGCAGAGCTCAGGCTCCACAGCACTGGAAGCATCTGGCCCCTCAGGTTGTGTCATGGACACTAGCACGCCGCTGCAGTTCAGGCCTACAGATTTACATGCCACCTACCCGTGGAGTGGAAGCAGGCTGATGCTGATTGCTTTTCATGTGCGTAATGTGCATAAGATGTCTGTAGAGGATCTGGCTCTGCTTAAGGATGCTGGTTTTGTCGCTGACTTGCAACTCTTATGATTGGGAGCTCGGCCACGAGCTATATGATGCCACAGCTGCGCACGGTGCCTCAAAAACAACGCTGTGCCCGACGCCGGTGATTGCCTGCTGCCCTCTTGCGGCGTTCCACAATGACTTCAGTGGCTGACACCGCACCTACGGTTGCTAAGGTCATGCAAGCTGAAAGTTTACGGATTCCTGATGCCTGAAGCGACAGTGAACGGGAAGCGATGATTCTCACACAGTATTTTCCGATTATAACATGTTGTCTGATGCTTTAACATACAGTCTGCAGCAGGGGTAGTACAGAAACCCTCAGCTGCTCCTGTTTTGGATCATGATGCTTGGGGCTGTCGGTCCGGTCATGATGCAGCGACTTGCTTGGTGCTGTCGGCACGAGGTCGCGCCGGTGTATAGTTTAGGCCACCAGTTTTGCAGCTCATGTCCCGCCAGATGATGGCAATTACTGTCGTTGTCAATTATGGACGGGCATGTACGCACTTTGTCGTTTGAAGTTACGTTTCGGGCTAAACGCGCTCCCACCGAGGAGCCGATACTTGAAGTATCGCCGGTTTCCTACACTAGGTCGCTCTTGAGCGGTTGTGCACGCAAAGCAAAAGCAGTAGTAGTATTAGTAGTAGTATTAGCAGTAGCAGCATTAGTAGTAGTCGTCGTCGT